TGCAATTTAGCAACATCTGCTAAAGTGAGGCTGAGCAGAGATCCCAGTGGGACTCACTTTCCGTCGTCTTCAAACCTGTGCAATGCCTCTGCTTTGTGCTAAACTGTTCATTGGTGCTTATGACTATTTGTTGTATTTTTATTTGCAAATCACAGTAATGTTACCTTTCAGGTAAACAGAGTGTGTGGAGAGCTGTTTGGATCATTTTTCCGTCGCTCCATCGTCAACTCATTCAGGTAAGACTAAATGTCGATCACTGACAAACCTTTGCAAGACATGTGTGGTGACTTGCTTTTAAAGTGTTTCTTTCTCTCTTTGTCATTGTAGGAGTGGATCAGTGGTTGTCAACATGACCCTTGTGTTCACAGATAAAAACTCTGTTCCGTCAGCAAGTACTGCAACTTCACAACTCAGTAGTGCACTTACGAGCACCTCTACGTCCCTGAACATTATACCGGGCAGCGTGTCTGCGGGTAAGAGACTTAAACGTCAAACATTATGATTTTACATTTATTAAATTATTAAATGCATGTTACAATCATATATTTGTAATTATCTGGTATTTTTTAAATTGGAAAATAAGATGAGGGCTTAAAGTTGGGAGGAAGCTACCTTTAAAGCCTGCATTTTGCACTTGTGAAGTTACTTTTTAGTCCAGAGAATGTCACTGACTAAAACCTCTGCCTTTTCTTATATTTCAGAGTCAACATCAACATCAAGCAGTTCTCCTCGTCCCACAGTGGGCTCATTGGTCTTTTCCCTAAAACTGCTGGCTGTGGGACAGATTCTGAGAGACTTATAGCCTGCAGCCAAATAGCTTTTATCAACTTTATCAGTAGAAAAAAGCAATGGACTAACAAACCAAAAACAAAAGACATAAAAATAAAAATATGCAAATACATGCTGTGGAGTAAAATGTACTATATATTTATTTTCAATAAAAAGCATTTTACAATTCAGCAGGACACAGTTACACCCAGTGACATTGTTCAGTGTGAATGAAAGAAGTTTGCAGTTTATGTAGAATGGTGGAGTTTTAAACATATTAAACCATGAGGAACTTTCCCTAACCATATCCATGTAGTTTATTCTCTCTTACTATTTTTATTATTATGCGCCAAAACACCAAGAAAATTCCTTGTATGTGAAATATCTGTAGTAAAACATGTGTAATTGTACATTTTAAAAAGTTGCGATTGAATGAACACATGTTTGGTTTTACAGAATAATTTAGTATCAAGTGAATAGTGTGGCAAGTGGATGGCTGAATGCTAGTCTAAAAATGTCCAGGTGCTATCATAACATTTAGTAAGTAGAACATTTAAGTAGAAAGAATATTTGATTTTAATTTATTAACAGTTTGAATAGAATACTGATTCCTGTATGTTTTTGGGAAGGGGAATAATAGTAATACTTTGTCAATCAACAAAGTATTAAAATGGTATCTTCAAAATGACCCTGTTGTATTTCTTTCTTTTTTCAAATAGGTTAAACAATACATATATATCCCTTTTGGAAAATGGGCAGATTTGAACATTTAGAAGTAGTAGTGTGATGGATACACTACGTTTGATGTATTTGCAACTATCAGCAACAAAGTTTATGATCACTGCCAAGACAGGGGAATGCAAAGGACTATTTCAAGCCAGTAAGCTTTTGAATAAGTGTCTTTTGTCTATAATCCAAGTGTATCCTGCACTATAAAGTCATTATTGGGCCACGTACAATACACTCATTATATACCAAGACTCCATGATGTGTATAGTTTGTGCACACACAATACTGCATACATTATAGTATTATAGTAATTAATGTATAATCCAGTGATTGCTATTGATTTACCATGTTCTCTTCATGACCATGCAATTGCAATGAGACACCAGAAGAGGGCTGCATTGCCCCAAGGATAATCTAAATTTGTGTATGCATGTACAGCTTTCCTTAAATGTTTTATTTACAGTTGTGAGTGCTCGATTAAAGACAAAATATTTTTTACACAATTATCTGCACAATTAGGTTGAAGAAGCAAATCTTATTCATTCCACATTACATTTTCTGAAAAAACAAAAAAACAAAAAACTTAGAAGTGAGGTCATTTTCTAATGATTGGATCAGCTGTCAGTTGGCTTTAACTGCTTTTGATGGTGATTGTGTCTGCACACATGTGCACTGTGCTAATACTTACAAAAGCACACAGTTTTCCCTCTGTTGCTGTTACCTGTTTAACAAACACCTCCACATGAATAACAATATTCTGTATTTATACTGTGTCTCTGTACTACTACTATGACAGAGCACAGGAATAATTTCTACTGGCAGAATGCCTTTATATTATTACTTATTATTTGCATATTTATTGATATTCTGATTGTGAAATCATTACTGAAAAACCCAGAATATGATCATGATGTCTTTTGAACATTGAAAATGGTTAGGCTAAGCTCATATTAAAGCCGACAATCAGGAATTATCAGCCTCACATGTGACTGAATGAAAATGTCTATATATTATATAACTCTTTTTTTGCTGGCAGACAGACTGTCCAACTCTCTCTAACTAATTCTCCATAATAAAAGGCAATGGGGGTAATAACAGATGGTGAAAAGAAAAATCTGTCATCTGTCTTCACTCCGGTATAAATGCAGTGATGTTGTGATGTATCATATCAGCTGCAGCATCCAATTAATACTTGATATATATTTGAGGGGCGTGTCAGCCAGTAAAAGACTTCCGTGAAGGCTGCTCTTGTATATCCTCACTCATGGATCCTCAGAGATCCCTCAGAGATCTTTGTTCTTTGGAGCACAAACAAGAGCTTTGGGAAGGTCTGCAAGATGGCGGACCAGAACGACTTTCGGTTCCCTAATTAGTTTCAACGGTGTCTAGTTAGCATCCCCTTTCTTGTGAATGTAAGTCCATGTGCTCCTCTTGTCTTCGTCTTTGTCTATTTGTCAAGCATCCCAACCCTTGCGTAGTGTAAATGGTAAATGTTCTGTATTTGTATAGCACCTTTTGAGTCTGTGCAACTAGTTAAAGCGCTTCAGTGTCTTGCCCAAGGACATGCAGACTGGGGGATCAAACCACCGGCTAGTGGACATCCGCTTTATCTCCTCAGCCACATTCGGTGAAACATGTTGCAGTTTTTCAGATTTGTTTATTAAAAACATTTCCTAATGTTGGGTTTTTCTTAAAACAAATTATTAGTTAACAAGCTAATTATTAGTTAATAAACATTATATCAAGACAGGACTGCAAATTTAGACAAAGTCTGAAATGAAAATGAAAATGAAATGACTATGAAGGATCACATTGAGGTGTAGTACTATTTATGAGTATTACATTGTTAATAATGAAATGTGTAATCATATCAGATAGGTCACTTTATTTGCCCCCTTGTAAAAGCAACAAAGCCTGGGACTCAACCTCTACTCTCTCCTTTTTCAGAAACAAAAGAACAGATGTGCAGCCAGTCTACCCTGTCTGCAAAGCACACTTGTATTACACATATAAAAGAATGGTCTGAAAAAAAACACTAGTTATTGAGCCAACGTGCCTTTTATTGCACCCTTCATTAAAAATCCTCCCATGTTTAATTAGAACACATCCGCCACACTTGAGATACGTCTGTCACTGGCTGAGGCCCAAGGTATTCAAGCTTGGCAGGATTGGCTGTGCTCTACTGAACACTGAAACACATGAAAGGGATGACAAGACCTGTTTTGGGGGTATCTAGAAAGCGAAGTTGAACCCAAGTAAAATTTGAAATCAAATAACAGGTTTCTGTTCTGGACTAAAGTACATTGTTGTTGTGGTGAGTTTTCTCTTTTCCACTTAGTACAAACAATACAAAACAAGATTTCTATTTGGAATAGACACAGTACTTAGGTGACCCACAACCACTTACTGTATATGTCTGCAACTATAAAGCTACTGTTTCATATATATATATATATATATATATATATATATACTTTTTTTTTACATGACATAGTAATTCAGATGACAGCAAAAGATTTCCTATGTGCAGTGCAGACCCATAGTGTTTCCCTGTTGGTGTTATTGTATATCATTCTGGTGTAATGGAGTTCTAGAAAAGCAAAGAGGAGGTTTCAGCCTTAGCTTTACCTACTTCCAAGGTGCATGGAGAAGGCAAAAAGGATGCTCTAAAGGATGCTGTTATGGAGATTTGGCAAAATTATTACAATTCATCCCAAGGGGACATGACTGTCTGAATCAAATCATGGCAGTCCAAAAGTTGTTGAGACATTTTACTATTCCAAAAGTTACAACCTGCTGCTGGCACTACAGGGGCTCACCAAAGTTAGTGGGATGCATCCTCTGGGGACCATGAATGTATGTACAACAATTTAATGACAATCTAAGCAAGAGTTGTTGAGATATTACAGTTTGAATCAAGGTGTTGGACTGAATGACTGCCATAGAGCCACAGTGATAGCATGGCTAAAAAACAAACTATGCTTTAACCAGTGCATAAGCATTTGTGTATATACACTCATCAACATTCAAAACAAATGTAAATGTACCCGAGTTAGCCACAAGCTAGTTTTCTTCGGCAGTCCCTTTGCCAGATGTTATCGGGTGTATAGTAATCAACTATTAATAATCAGATCTGCCCTTATTCAACATACCACAAAAAGATTGGCAGTGCCCTCAGAAAATTTGTTCTGGTTTCTCTTTTAACAATCATTTGAATTGAGTTGGCAGGGGAGTTGGCAGTAGACTGTATTCTGCTACTAATTATTGTTGCATGAGTTCATTACAGCTCTCTTCCCAGCCCCCACCATCCCTCTCATCTCTTTGTAAAAGCAAGGTTAACAGACATGCTGTATGATACAGACATGAGGACAGATGATCGTCTTTCTTCTTTACAGGTAAGTGTCTTAGTTTACACAATTTTCTAGTAGTGCCTGCCAGATGTGAACTAGTACAATAATCAGAAGTTAGTTCTTAAACTGAATTCAAAAGCCCTTATCTGAACATGTGTAACATGTATAAATAAGCTAATTTGAGTGACATAACAACTGAACTGCTCTTGGTAGAATCAGATGTAAAGATAAAGCACAATTCTACTAAATCTCTTATGCTTTAAATGTGTTTTTCAGAGTTGCAGTTACTATATCTTCTAAATGAAAAAAATTGATTCTTGGATATTTTATATTGTATTTCAATGTGTATATCAACACCATACTAATAAAATAGTTTTGTCTAGTTTTGCTGTATTGCAAATGATGTAACCATCAAGAATGCATTTTATCTATGATATATCCAAAATATAGATGGTGGCCACAAAATATGTTAAGGTATTGCTATTATAACCAGGCATATACTTAAATATGTGAAACATGAACTAAAATTTGTTTACAGTTTCATAAGCTTGACAGGAAGAATTACTTAACGCTTTTGCACTAATATTACAGAATAATAAAACTGTATGATTTTTGCAGACGTGATGCTCCGAACATAAACAGAAAGATTAGAAGGATGAAAGGGAATAATGGCGAGTGCAAGGGTGGGTGGGTGGGGGTTTAGACGTCTGCTAAAGTACCATCTACCTCCCAGGAGATGTAAGTGGCAGAGTAAAGGGCACTTTTACCTGCTTTTATTAAACAAATTATTAATGTCAACATCCTTTATAACAATCCAACAGAAACTGATATGTACTGTATTGATAATAAGATTTTTCAAACCTGGATGGGTGTAACATGATGTATATGTAAAGAGTTGAAATTAGTACATTTATATATTGTATCTTGATTTTACTGCGATTATTTGCCATGATGATGTGTGTTGGTTCAATTCAACAAGTCTACAAGCC